TATAGAAAGTCATTAAATATTTTTAGATCTAATGGCCTACATTTGAGTAGTTTAAATCTAATGAAAGATTACTACTTCTGTATTAATACAAAATTTCTCATTTCTGCATAGTAGTCTTATCCTTTGACACTAAGCAACTTGCTTTTCAAATGGCTCAAAACTCATCAAAAATAATTGAGACTTGGTAGAATCTTATTTAGTATTTTGTCTAATTTGGATTTGTTTCTATATTTTAATTTTATTGTTTTGTTAATATTTGAATGCCATATGTGCAGAAGTGAAAAAATTATCATAATTAACATGGTATGGCCTCTATTGTTTTAGAATTAATATTTTTAATTATTGAAATTTGTTAACTATAGAGCTTTTTAGTTTTAGTTTTGATTTGTATAATTTTAATTTTATTTTTCACTATAATTTATTTCTGGATTGTTTATTTTATATGTTACTTCAATCTCTACAAATTTTAGATATGATACTTCAATCTCTACATTGTTAACTTTTTTTTTTTTTTTTCAAATAATTTTGTAAAATCTCCAAATGAACCCTTCTAACAACTATATTACCGCTAATTTTAAGGGTTTGTGGAAAGTTATTTTTTTATATTTATTATAAATACTCCTTTTCATCTAAAAAAAAAAAAAAAGTTATAGCCCTTCTTTAAAAAAAAATAATAAGTTCAAGCTTTTTTTTTAATTTTTTCTAAAAATTATTTCATAAACATTTAAATTTTAAATTTTTTAAAAAAATGTTTCCTAATTCTTTATTTTATAATTATGTGAGTCGCCGAAAAATCAATTAAACAAACTGTCAGAACCGTTAAGAAACTGGAACCGTAACCATTTGGTTCCAAACCGTAATCAGATTCGAGCTGGTTCGGTTCCGAAACTATAGCTTCCCCTAATTGGATCCCTAAGTTATATTGAAATTAATACTTAAACCTCTTTCTGTTTGAGAAATGATTATGATGTCTGCATCTTATATTTTCGTCTTACAATTAGAGACTTTGTCAAAAAGTGAGCTTATTTTTTGGACGGAACAACTCTGTATTGAGATAAAATATAAGGTAGGAACATCATAATTATTTCTCAAATATAGAAGGATTTAAGTATAAATTTGAATATAATTTAGAGAACCAGTTATATTTTATCCTATTAGTGAGCATAATTCTTTAGAGTTTATAACAATTCATTATCATTTAGAAAATATTTAATATTCTTCTGGTTTAGTTCTTCATAAAATTATTATTTTAAAAAAATTACAAATAAAATGATCATAAAATATTAATTTTAAAATTTTATTAATAGTCATTATTTTGAGGTTGATGGAGTCCAAATAAAATTAGAATTAGCTAGCAGCCTATATGAAAAAGCTCTAAAATATTACTGTTGGAATCAGTATTTTGTTGGAACTTCTATCGGTTAAACCCAATATGCTCTTAATCTTTAAATTTAAAAAAAAAAAAAACCTTGAAACTGGAAAAATACGCATGATTTTATTTAGACGCATCAATTTTTGGATGATGAAAATCTATTAAAAAAATAAAATATTAATAAAGTTTATCGAAGTTGCCATCAATCACCACAATCCCATCTCGGTTTCATGATCATTTAGATCATCACAAAATGCAGTCCATGTGCAGATTCTGTGTTCGGCCCAAAACAGGTGTGACTCGTGGCCTAAAAATTATTTTTTAAGAAAATATTTTAATGTACTAAGAAATTGTCGAGTTATTGATAAAATATATAAATTAGAAGGTGAAGAATTTAATTTCAGGCACTATTTTTTTATAGAAAAAATTTCAATATATAAAAAAAATTATAATTTTCAAAATTTTTAAAAACTTTTTGCTTTACGTAGACAGTTAAATTAGCAAAAATGAACAATATTTATAAACGCACTCTATTTATCAAATTAGAAAATTCGAAATTGAAATTGTGACTATTAAAAATATTTTATTTAAGGATAAAAATACTTGTATAAAAGGAAATAGTTGGTCATTGTTTGCTACTTGTCAATTTGACAACACAAATGATTGAGCTTTGTATTTATAGTAAATGAAAACTAGCTAAAAATTAGGTCCTTATCTTGTTGACAATATTATTATGATAACACGAAAGGCACTATCATTACCAAAAAAAATAATTGTGTTTTGGCATTTCACAAAAATGTATTTCTTTCTTTTGTGATTTTCCTTTTCCAATCAAAAACTTATCTAATATTAAAAAAAAAAAAAAAATTTGCATAATGGATGCCTCTCTTTATTTCATGAAATAAAATCTTCTCATCTAAGGATTTTGAAATTTGAACTCCATACTTTTGAATTCAAATATACTCCCTCCCCCAGTCAATAGATAAATTTTATTTCTTTCATTTGTTCTAAATTATAATCCACTTATTATTTTAATAAGTTAATTAATGCGTTAAATCTTTATTATACCCATATTTACTCTTATTTTTTCAATTTTCAATGCATTATTTATTGAAATCTTCGAAAATTGACCATTTTCAATAACCTTAAATAATTAATTAATCTCGGTAGATGTAAAACATCAATGATAGATTAATGGATATATATCATATTAAAGTAAGGGTGTAATAGAAAAAATACATGTAAATTTATATTTTTAATTATTTTTTTTTATTTTTGTGAAATAGAAAGTGCATCGGAAACTCTGAGAGTATAAGTATTACTAATTTTTAACTTATTTCCCAAATAAATACTTTATCTATCCGAGAATATAAGTCAGATTTTTGCATGAAGATGAAAAAAATAATTATTTTTTTTTTTAATTTTAACAAAATCAAAAGTAATTTGACTAAATTATCATTTATTTCAAAATTAAAAAAAAAACTTGTAAAGGTAATTATTATACCAAATATAAATAAGGATAACATTAGAAAATTATTATTTTTTACTCTAAAAAATTCTTCAAACTACTTATATTTTAAAAGGGAGGGAGTATTTGTATACTCAAATCCATAGTTGGGAGTGTAGAGATGATTTCCCGTTAAACCAATCAATAGACAAATAACAAAATTTGCCAATAACCAAAAACTGTGATAAAAAATAATAATAAAATAATAAAATAATAAAAAATAAATTTAGCAATGAACTACGATTTGAGGTATTTACACAATTTCATAAAAACAGTGCAATTTTCACTTTCTTTAGACTGATTTTCTCTCCAAATCAGAGAGATTGCAAATATGTGTCTTGAATGAAAAATAAATTAAATTTTACTTCGTTATTTTCCAAACAAAAGAAAAATGATTTTCTTTCCTTATTTTTTACATGCATGAAGAAATATAAAGTTCTGAGAAAGAGTAGGATTAGCTTACCCTTATAGAAGGGCTCCGACAAAAGATTTCAAAATCACACAAGAAAAAAAATATTATAGTAAGAAAATTCATTGATCCAGAAATAATTTATAAGGATTTCTTTACACAAAGAATGCAAGAATTCCTTTTGAATACAACCTAAGATGTATACAAAGATTCAAGATTCATCATCGTCTAACCAAAAAGTGAACGATAGCAATATTGATGGAGCAAAAGATTTGAGCAAGCTAGAAGCAACTAAGCTGCGTCCTCCCTCGCTGGAGATCACATCCCAGCAAGCCACCATAAACATTGGCACGATAGGTCATGACTCCACAGTTGTCAATGCCATATCAGGAGTATAAAACAATTCGTTTCAAGAGCGAACTAAAGATCGGGTTATTGGGCTGGCAAGGTCAAGGCAGTGTTGTTGGTGCATGGAAGCATCCAGAAGGGAGTCTTAAAGGCGAATTGTTTGCTGAGCTAAATAAGTTGCAGTTTGCCGTATAAGGAGGCTTAATCGGCTTTAGAACAGCCATAGATCCAGCACTAACTCGTGCTGATTGGTTAGTCGGGCAGGTTCTTGGTGAGGTTAATTCACTGCCTGAAGTGTTTATTTACATGTTGAATTCTTTACGCTGCAAATACTTGTAGTGTGGGTGTTAGCACAAAAAAAGGCAAAAGAGCAACAGAATGTTTCCAAGTTAGTTACGGTAGAGATTTTGATGCTGAATATTGGGTCAATGTAGAGATTTTGATGCTGAATATTGGGTCAATGGCAGCGGGGCCCCAAGTTGTTGCCGTAAGAAGAGATTGGGATGTGAATCCAAAAATGACGCTAATGCAGTAGAACTGAAATTGAAAAAAACAGTGGGTACTAGGACACGGGAGAAGGCTGCACTAAGCAGGAAGATTGATAGCAAAATTGAAGTTAGGGTTTTTTTAATGATTTAGCCAGTCGATGCATATCAATCTTCCAGCTTATTAGGTACAACTTGAAATTAGAGTACTATTGTTATTAAAATTAAAGTTCAAGATATTAGGAAAAAAAAAGTTCAACGGAAGTTCAGGATATTAAAAAAAGAAAATTCGAGATACAATTAAAATCACCCACAAAGTTTGAGGTTTTTTTAATGATTTAGCCTTTTGAAGTCAGATTGAATTAATGGGCAGGATTAAAGATGGTGTTATCAACCTACGGGTTATGACTCGGTTGATAACACAGGCTAAGCGTTTGTAGGTTAGATGAGTGGGAAGAGCACTCGGATTTGATCACTAAACACGCCTATAGCAAGGCGCGAAAAACCTTAACTGTGACTACTGAATTAGTCGGTATTTAGGATAAGGTCTAGATATCGGTGGTTTAAAAAAAAAAAAAAAAACGGTGTTATCAATGTTTGAGACTCCCCAGCTTGAGGTAAGTCAAGACACAGCAATGCAGGGCATACAAGAGCAGCAGAACTAAAAAAGTTGTGAAAAAGATTCTATTTTTTAAAAAGATTCTCAGCTCATAAATAGTGTGATATTGGATTTGGGAGTAAACCGCCAGTATGTATTGAAGTGACGCGGGTGAATGTATTTTCTACACATAAATCCAAGCAACATAGATCCAAGTGATTGAAAAACAACACAATATAAGCAAAAAAATTCCAATTGCCCAGTCAACCAATTTCAGAAAATAGGGCTGGCAATAAAACTAGATATTATTTAAATATTTATAAGCAAGGTTAGAACAAATCTGTTTATTCAGGTAAACTTTATAAATTCATAGATTGAGCTAAATATTCAAGTGCTCACAACAGATGCTACTCACCTTCAATTGAAATGTTTAAGGTTACAGCAGCAACGTTTTCATCCCACATAAATGGGTTCATTTTCTCCTCAGCTTCTCCTTCATCCTCTCAACTGCACTCCTTAGAGTTCCTTCATCTTTGCAGAAAGTGAATCTGACCAAATTCTTCCCTTCTTCTGGGTTCAAATAAAAAACACTGGTTGGGATTGCTACCACCCCAACTTCCTTGATGAGATACTCGCAAAATGCAATATCATTTTCATGGCCAAAAGGCGTATGATCAACAACAACAAAGTAAGTCCCACTAGATGGAAATACTTCAAAACCAACAGCCTTTAATCCCTCCACTAAAATTGTCTTCTTTGCCAAATAATCCTTCTTTAGCTCTGCATAGTATGAATCTGGAGCTCTAAGAGCCACTGCAGCTGCCCACTGCATTGGAGTGGAGGTAGCAAAGGTGAGAAAAGCATGTGCTTGCCGCACTCCCCATGTCAGATGTGGAGGAGCTATTGCCCAGCCAATCTTCCATCCCGTTAAGGAGAATGTCTTCCCTAAGGAATTCAAAGTTACAGTCCGCTCATACATTCCAGGAAGGGAAGCCATAGATATATGATCCATTTCAAAAGCCAACTTATCATAAACTTCATCAGTAAAAACTAGAACATCATTCTCAATGCAAAGTGATGCAATAGCACTGAGTTCCTCCCTTGTAAACATCTTTCCAGTAGGGTTATGTGGTGTGTTGATAAGAATTGCACGAGTATTCTTTGAGATAGCAGACTTAAGCTCATCGATGGGCACTTTAAAATCTGGGGGCCGCAGAGTAATGGCTTTGATTTTAGCACCAGCCATGGATAGTGTGGCTTCATAAGAATCATAAAAAGGAGCAAATAGGATCACTTCGTCACCAGGATTTATCAAGCCTAACATAGTTGCAGCAATGGCTTCTGTGCATCCAGAGGTAACAGTAACTTCTTTCTCAGGGTCCACCACAAGCCCAGTATCTTTCTTGAATCTCTCAGCAATTGCAGAGTTGAACTCTGGAACCCCATAACCACGAGCATATTGATTCTTCCCTTCCCTAATGGCTTGAATAGCTGCTTCCTTAACAAACTCTGGGCCATCAAAGTTGGGAAAGCCCTGGCCAAGATTTATTGCTCCATGTTTGATTGCAAGCGAGCTCATTTGCGTAAAAATTGTAGTTCTGAACTTCTCCAATCGCTTTGCCACCTGACAAAATAGGGCCAAAATATTCAAATAAAGGAAAACAAGAGAACCAAGACATGTCATTTAAATGCTTCGTCGAGCAAAATATTCAAGTAAATTCATAAACTACGTGGAATATCAAAATGGTGCTTAGTGAAACGTTCAAGATAGCTTCATAAGCACCTGTTCAAAGAACTTTCAGTAGATGCTGAAATAAACCACCTCGAAAACTATAACCTTTCCCACTCTCCTATGAGGAATGCCTCTGAATGTGTTGTTACAAAGACAAGAGACTTACAATAAGCAATCCCTCATTAAGGTTTTGCTTAAAACTCAGTCCATATAAAATAAAAAGGTAGCTGAAAAGCAAACAGCTTGCCTTGTCATTTAGTATGGATTATATACAAAATATACTAAACAATTAAAACTGATGCTGTTATGCATATAGTAGATAAATCTTGTTCTCGCAAAGATTATATATATATTTTTTTACCCTTCTCAAAATTTCAGTATTCAAGATTGTAGCTCCTGCTAATAGAACTTTCGGCCCATAATCAAGTCAAATGTTTCACAAAATCAAAACCAACCATTAACCAAAATGACAATCTTAAAACCTTCAGCAAAAAAGCATACCCATAAAAAATTAAACAGGATAGAGAGATAGAAGACCTGAATTCCACATACTTATACACGATAGCATTACAAATTAGGTCAAATCCCCTAAATCCACAGCGAAAATTAATAGCCAACGCGTAAAAATTAAGCTGAAAATCAATAACAAAAGCTCTGAGTTTACTTGTAATGGCTGCTGGACCTGCTGGGTCAACACGTTCTGACCGGAAGCGGAATCATTTTTGGTGGTGGTAGCGGAAGATAAGGCGGCCATGTAAGAAGGATCGCGGAAGAGTGTCCTTCTGTTTTTATGCAAGTGCTTTGAAATTGAAAAGGCAGGCGAAGTGCAGAATTTAAAGCTGAGAGGTCTAGGCATTGCAGGATGTGTCCAGGTACATTGACACTGTATACCGGAACCAAAAGTTAACCAGGAAATGGAGGTCACACCTGCAAAACGTTTCGTATTCCGTCAACAGTCGAGGCATGGGTTTTTGCGGCACGAATTTTTTTAATTTTAGGAAATTTATTATTTTCGTGAAATTGTTATATTGATTCGCTACCTGTAATATGCAATACAGCTCACATATATATCCTATCTGATGTGGCATACATGTCAGCATACATATCATCAGCTAAGCCACGTCAGATTACATTTCAATGAAAAGTAAATCTGAACTAAATACCAATATTAAAGTAAATATTTCAATTGTATCCAATATCAATTACAATTAAGCCTCCAAAATCAAAACTACATGCGATTATATCCTAATAAAAAGTTATTGCTGAACACAATATTAAAAAGAGAAAAGACGGTTTCAAATTAATTACCAGGTAGCCGTGTTATATGGACTTGACAGAGAATGAGATAAGACCTTAATTATAGAAAAGAATATATTAATTGTATCATAATTTGAACCTTAAAATTTAATATTCATATCCCTGATAAGGGATCTAATTTAAATTTTTAAGCTGTATTAGGGACACATTATCAAATCGAGTCGGACATACATATGACCTGAGAACTCAAATTTAGTACTTGCACAATTAACTTTTATAAGAAATGACTTCTTTTATCTAGTTGGATATATGTGTTGGGGGGAGGGGGGGAGATTATATATAGTATGGATGTAGATACGAAAAAAATTAATGATTTTGAAAGGATAAAAATGAAATACTAAACAAAGAAAAAATTGTATAGTGAAATAGCGATCCACGTAGATAAATTGGAATGACAATTCAATAAAAATAAAATGCTTATTAAAAACCTTGAAAAAATAGAAAATTTGATGAAAACTGATAGGTCAAATTAAAACCTTAATAAAAAAAAACTAATTATCTTTTTTTTTTTCTTTTTAAAAAAGCTATTTTATTTTGTTGGAAAGTCATTCCAACTCATCCTCCTAACATAAAAGATCCAAATTCTTTATTTTATCTTTGATTAATAGACATATATAAGTAGATATATAGATAGAGTTATATTTATTCATATATTTTATTTCATATTTAAAAAGGTATTTTAAATAAAATATCAGAATGTCTTATTTGAATTACTTAATTAAAAGAATGTTAGAATTAAGCCTTCATGAAATTTCATGAATTGTAATCTTTGATAAGGATGAAGAAATAATAATAATAATAATAATTCGAAAAAAAGAATTATAATTTTTTTTTTTTGCAATCAAATGAAAAAATTTGATAAAATCCATGTAATATTTAAATTCGATTATAAAAATATTCTATCTAAATTAAATATTTATCTTTTTACTACTTAATAAAAATCCTAAAAGTATTATAGATATTGGAAAACTTGTTATATAGATTTTTTTTTTTAATTTTGGTTTAATATATAGGATATGAAAGGAATAAAATAGTAATTTGATGTCAAAAAAATTAATTTTGTTATATATAATTTTATCTTATATATAAATTTTTGTTGCATATATAAATTCGGGTCAACATTAGAAGTAATTATTTCACAAAGAGTGATCGTTGTATTTTCATCTATTCGCCGAATATATGATTTCACTTCTGAATTTTGTACTTCTGAATTTTGTTATTTTAATATTTTTGTTTCCATGCATAAAACAATTCAACTTTCAAAATTACATTGCTGAACACTTGAACTTGCAAAATCATTTTATTGAACGTTTCAACTTGTAAAATAATTAATTAAATTTTTTTTTTGTCAGCAATCAAATCAGTTTTATTACAGATTAATAATAAAAAGGAAAAAATTTTTCAAAACCGAGTGAAATTAAACCCAAGCAAGTAGACTTTTCCAATACTTCCAAGAAAATGCTCATAATTAATAAGAAAAACCTTACACAAAGAAAATTAGAGAACCTATCTTAAGGTAAGAGATGAAAACTAGAAGAAAGCAAAATAAAAATAAAAAATCAATAGAAACTCAAACATCACATTAATTAAAACCACGCTAAAAATGGGAGTTCAACATCAATACCTTAAATGTCTATTAAATAGTTAACAAATGTGAATATTATTATTATAAAAGTTATACTAATTATATATCAAATCAATATTATATACATATATATAAGCCAAAACCCTAAAAAGTATTATTGTTAGTGTAAATATACGTGCAATGTTATTAAAATTCACAAATTAAAGTATACAACATGTCATCTACAAAGTTCAAGATGTTACAAAATTAAAGTTGCAAAATTCAGGAATAAATTTATATATTGGGGCCATTTTATTTTTAAAATCAAATCAAATATATGATTGCCAATCAGGTATATTATCTTCCTACCTCTTATAGAAGATGTAGAGAGTGAGAAATCTCAAGTTCGAGTTTTTTCCATTATAATAGTTATTACAAATTTGGTGAATGTTATGAATTGATAAAAATATCATTAAGAATTTTAATTTTATTAGTTGAAAAATAAAAGCTAATTTAGTTTTTGATTGATGATATTAATTTTCTATTTAAATATATTATGTATTGGGGCCATTTAATATTTTTAAAGTCATAGAGGTCAAAGATATAGTGAATTGCCATATAGGTTATGATTTTATCTTGCCTACTCTTATAGAAGGATAGTAGAGGAGAGTGAGAAATCTCAAGTTCGAGTTGGGTTTTTCCATTATGAATAGTTATTGACACAATTTGGTGAATTGTTATGAAGTTGATAAAGATATCATTAAGAATTTTAATTTTATTAAGTTGAAAAATAAAAAGGATAAGATTTAGTTTTTTTTGATTGATGGATATTAATTTTTATCTATTTAAATATAAATTCTATTGGATTAAAATAATTTCTTATTTTTTTAAGGAATTTCTCCTATTATAAGGTAATATATTAAGTATGAAATATCATTAAGAATTTTAATTTTATTAGTTGAAAAATAAAAGCTAATTTAGTTTTTGATTGATGATATTAATTTTCTATTTAAATATAAATTCTATTGGATAAAATAATTTCTTATTTTTTAAGGAATTCTATATAAGGTATATATTAAGTATGGTGAAAATATAATATTTTTGAGGATTTAATTTTTCTATTTAAATTTAAATTCTATAGGATAAACTAAAAAAATAATTTTTTATACTAAATAAGATATATGTTAAATACGGTAAGAATTTAATATTAATTATATCATACCATATAAGGTATGTATTAATTATGGTCAATATAATATTAGTTATATCATACCATATAAGGTTATTAAATATGGTAAGAATATAATAATAATTATTTTTAATAAATTTTTAATTTGATTGATTGTAATTATTTCTTACAATTAATTTATTTAATAAATATAAATATAAAATATTATTATTTATTAAGGAATAAATTATGAGATTTATTGTGTGATATAAAATAGAAAATAAAATTCATTGGAAATATATAAAATATAAAATATAACTATAAAATTATTTATATGCTGATAGACTGAGGAAAAAGTTAAAGAAATACCAAAATTATAATGATGCACTAATAATAATTAATAAATTAATTATTATAATCGCTATCTATCTACAATGTATAATATTTATGATATTCATTTTGAAAAAAAAAATTATGAGATAAATTCAAAATGGCAATAAGACAAGTTAAGCTGATCCTCAATTTAAGAAAATTTCCCTCGTGCTATCTCATTTTCACTTTTATTTGTTTAATATATTTTTATTTTCAGTATTTATTTGCTTTGATGGTTTTACATAGAAATTAATTTTTTTATTATTTCCTTAATTTGTCTAAACGTTTAATGGAGTAATGACAATAAAATATATTTCTTAATATGTATACCAAATTTATAACGGGTATGTTCTTCATATATTTGTAAATGAAAAATCAATTGGTATATATTTATAAATTTTTTAGCTTTTTTTCTAAATTAATGCAAAAATAAAAATTATATTATCTTAATCCATAAAATATGTGAGTTAATCCTAATTTTTTATTTTTACTAATATAATAAATATTATATTATATACATATAAAAATAGTTGGGATATACTTTCTCCCTATTTCCATTCCTCTCAAACAAGGTGTTTAGGTCCATAACATTAGAATTCAGAATAATACAGACAAAACAAAGCCCAAAAATCTATAAACTTTCCAACTTGGGAGGCTATTAAGACTTGAAGCCCAATAAAATAGAATATTCCCCTCTAGGAATGGAATAAAATTATTTAAACTAAGGGTGACCACGATTATGGAACCGGCGGTTCCGGTTCCAAATTTTTTGAAATCAGAATCGAATCGAAAATTTCTGATTCTGGTTCTAGTTTAGAATCAAACAGCTCCGGTTCCGATTTCGGTTCCTTAACGGTTTCAAACCGACAGTTCCGATCGGTTTTCCTGCGAATCACATAATTTTAAATTTTAAATTTTGAAGACCGGTTTTCAAAATTTTAAAAATTTGTGAAAGTTATTTCTAAAAAAAAAATACACCTAAAAAATAAAATTTTTAAATTTGAGAGAACGCAGTTTTCAAAATTTTAAAAATTGATTCGTGAAGGAAGGTGTAATTGTGGTGCTAGAAAAAAAAATATCACCTAAAAAAATCAACAAAAAGCTTTACATTTGGAAATTATTATTTGTTTGAATGAACTTGAACATTAATTAATTTTTTTAAAAAAGGTCTTACAACTTAATTAGGTATTTTTTGTTTACAAAAAGTTTGAACGTAATTTATTTTTTTTTTAAAAAAAGAGGTTGAACTTAATGTTTATTATAAATGCTAAAGAAAAATATATTTTTTATCAAAAATACCCTTAAAAATTAGGCCGTTATGGTAAAACGGTCCAGGAAGTTGAAGTAGTGTAGTTGGAGCGGAAGGGTAGGTAGATTAAGAAGATTGATACAGCAACAAAGGATTTGTAGAAAAAAGAAAAGAAGATGTGATAGTTTCTAATGGAGCTAGTAACCGCCGGTTTCGAAACCGCTAGAGAAGGCGGTTTGTGTTATCTCTTCTGGTTCCATGACCGGTTTGTGGGAACCGCCAGTTATCGCGTTCCACATACTTGGAACCGCAACGGAAAAATGAAAATC